GAAGTAATATTGCTGAATTATGTTGAATTGTTGAATTGGTAATGAGATTAAGACTTATATAATGTTTTAGAAACTCTAAGGTAATTTGTTATGGCTATATACACGAAATGGCTCCTAATCACTTAAATTAGTTTTATAATATTTAAGAGACTATAAAACTTGAGAAGTTAAGGTTGTGAAACAAAATTTAATTCACAAACAACCTAGAGCTTAGTATGGAGTATCTATAAGCCATAATTACTACTGGATTGAGAAAGTATATTAGTTTAAACCTTATACAAGTTTATAAACTTAAAGATAGGTATTTCATGGTTTAAAAATAATAAAGTCAATAAGTTTCGAAAATAAAATGATAAATAAATATTGAGAATGTTATAGTTGTATTTTAAGGTCAAACTTGATTTTAATAAGTTTAAATAAAAGAATAACAAATGATCGACTACAAATGATATATTTACTTTGAACTTATTAACTTGTACTAGGAAGTAGCCGTGAACCAGGAAACCAACTTGAGACTCGAGAGTAGTCATTTGAATCCTTGGTGAGTGTTATCTGAATTATGTGTTAACTGTTTATGTGTATGTATTATGAATATTGCTAAGTGATTCATTGTGAATTGTTTTCAATTGTCCCTTGCCTTCTAAGTCGGGAGTGTACTTTATCGCACTCGACTTAGTTTGAGCTTGAAGGTATTAAGCTAAGAAACTCTTATTCTCTCTCTTATGTTGCATTTTATTGGATAGATGACTTGAATCTTGAATTATATTGGATGATACTCTAGTTTTGGTGAAGATTAACGAATTTCAGCAAGGGTTAGTGATTCTGCCTAGTTTTTGGACCCAACTGGAACTGTATATTCGTTCATGATAAAGAACAAATCAGTTCTTGCTCAAAACATGAAAGTTTTAGGGAATTGAGTTAGCTAGTTACCTGTAAACTCTCAGCTCAATCGGAGTACTGTAGATAATGAAATGACTAAAATACCCCTAACTGCTCAAATACCCAGATTAGCTGACAGTCTTCTGTTTTCTCTGAGATTGTGATTTTTGACCTTGAAGATGCAAGAACTGGGTGTTCGTGTCTTCATAGGAAATGTAGGTCTATGTCTTAGCTTCGAAACGCCATAAAATTTACCCCAATCTGATAAGCATAGCTTCAGTTGTGACTGCCGAGAGATGTCAAACCTACTGTGTGGCTCTTTGTCTTTAAAACTAGTTTCTAACTTCTAGCTTTGATTTGGATGGTTGCACTGCTCGAATTGACTTGTAATTGGATAATATTGAGTCTAGTTGAATAGCTATTGCATTGAGCTTGCTTATATGTTGAATTGGGCTGAGTTGAGGAAAATAATGAAGCCATAAATGGCTGGAAATAGTTAAATACAAAGGGCATGCTGCCCAAATTTTCACTTAAAGGTTAGGCGTGTGTACTTGCAGTTTGAAAGAAGATTTGAGGTCGAATTGAACTTGGATTGTCTATGGTATTCGAGTCTTCATTCGTAAAGGTATATAAGCTAAAATTTGGCCGAAACTCATACCCTTGGAAAAATGAAAGTGGTGACCGCTCGGAATATATTTTCCTCGTCTTTTAGACTCAAATGCGAATTCCAAAGTTTTAGTTGCTTCTTTAGCAACACCAAAAGAGCGAGTATGAATTTTCTAGAGTTTGATACGTAACATGAATCCTATCTAAACGAGTTTTATTTACTTGATCTGTTTAAAGCGAAACTCTTAAGTTTCGAACCCTAGTGATTTTAAGTTTTTAAATGATATTGTATCGCAGATTTGGACTCCAACCAAGGAGTTACAACTGAGAGCGATTTTGACAAGCACTAAATCTTTGGTGAGTGCTTCCAAATACCGGATTGAACTGGACACTTATTTTCAATTCTTGACCAATGTGATTGAATGATATGTGATTGATATAATCGGGCAAGAGTGTACTTTATCGCACTTGCCCTAATGTGATATGTACTCGTTTCTGGTTGCAAATGACTTGATATACTTGTGCCTGACTTGTAAGTACTGAGCGGCAGTATGTACCACACTCGATTCGAGTGGGAGGTACCTCTCATTCCCGTTTTCGTATTTTTATCTTGATTCAGTCGATTGGAGATGTATCTCATCGACTTCTTGGGGACCCAAACCCTACTGGCTAGTTAATCTAGTTGAGCCGGCAAGGGTTTGGTCGACTAGATAACGAACCATGGGTATCTAGTGTTGTCGAGTGGAGTATTATCTCCTCGACTAATCGGTATACTCGAGTATTACCACCAGTGTTTATTGTGGAGTTCGGGCCCAGTAAGGGGTTTGGTTGATGGACGGTGATTGGAGTTAAATGGTGTACTACTGGACTAATTACTTTACTTGAAAGTTGACGGAGTGTCAACTAATACTTGATCAAGCTCTGGTGAAGAAATGGGAATTTGGCTCCTGAGAGCCATCTGTATCCTTATACATTGATTGTTATTAGAAGTGTTATTGTTCTTTTGGAAAACAAAAAGAGTTTTCCCTCGCTCATTTTGACATTTGATATTTGAAGTGTTATTGCTCACTTTCATGAACTTGTTATGCTTGCTATTTTGCTACGTGATATTTGTACTTTTCAATATTGGTCAACTTGCTATTTGGAACCTCACTGGGCTTTTAGCTCATTCCACGCCGTTTGTTGTCCTTACAGGGGGTACGAGTGAGATGTGAGACTGGTACAGGCTAGCGTAGTCTAGTAGTTTTTGAATTTTGCGATTGTACTCGCGCTAGTGCTCGATTAGAACTGAATGTATCTGAAACTCATATCTTTTGATATATGTGGAATTGTACGAATGTTTGAAATAAAAATGAAAGTACATGTATGTTCCAAGGTTGGAAACTGGTATTTCTTTTACTCTTGAGATTATAACCTATTATATTTGAAGTGAGTGAGTGAGTCCAGGCGAGAGCTGGGCAGGCGGTCCGCTAAACCCTGGGATACGCCCTAGGAGGAGGTGGGGTCGTCACACTTCTTTAATGCGAAAACCACAGTGGCCAATTCTAAGTCATGAGTGGGGTAATTTCGCTCGTAGGTCTTTAGCTTCCTAGAAGCATAGGCAATTACACTCCCATTTTGCATTAGAACACATCCCAAACCTTCCCTTGAGGCATTCGTATATACAGTGAAACTATCTTTCCCATTTGATAAAGCTAAAATAGGTGCCGACGTTAACCATTTCTTTAACTCCCGAAAACTAGCTTCACACTTAGAGTGCCAGACAAATTGACCATGCTTTTTGGTCAGGTCGGTTAAAGGACCGGCTAACTTGGAGAAATCTTTGATGAACCATCGGTAATAACCAACTAAACCTAGAAAACTACGGACCTCAGTTGGGGTTTTCGGTCATTTCCACTCAGATACAGCCTCTACTTTCACTGGATCCACAGAAATGCCATCTTTAGATATTACGTGCCCTAGAAAAGAAATTTGCTCCAACCAAAACTCGCACTTGCTAAACTTGGCATATAACTGATGTTTTCTTAAAGTCTGCAATACTATCCTCAAATGCTGTTCGTGATCCTCTCGAGTCTTAGAATACACCAAAATATCATCGATAAATACTACAACAAATTGATCCAAGTAGGGTTTAAAGACTCGATGCATCAAATCCATAAATGCGGCAGAAGCATTCGTTAAACCAAAAGACATCACTGCAAATTCAAAATGACCATATTTGGAATTAAAGGCAGTCTTCGGTATATCCTCTTGCCTAATTCGCAACTGGTAATAACCTTGCCTCAAGTCCAACTTAGAGAAAACTACTGCTCCTTGCAGTTGGTCAAACAATTCGTCAATGTGTGGCAAAGGATACTTATTTTTCACCGTAACATCATTTAACCCACGATAGTCAATACACAGTCTCATACTACCGTTCTTCTTTTTAACAAATAAAACAGGTGCTCCCCAAGATGACTCACTTTCCTGAATAAACCCTTGCTCTAACAGATCTTGTAACTGCAGTTTCAATTCCTTAAGTTCGGCGGGGGCCATTCGATATGGTGTTTTTGCAATGGAAGTGGTTCCGGGCACTAAATTAATCTTAAATTCTATCTCCCTTTCGGGTGGCATGGACTTCAACTCGTCAGGAAAGACATCAGGAAATTCATTCACTACTAAGACATCCTCCAGTTTCACCTTATCTCCAGGAGTATTAATTAAGAAGGCTAAGTATCCTTGCGCCCTTTACTCAACAACTTTCTGGTTCGGATTCCCGAAACGAGCACGGACGAGGTTAACCTACCCTTCACATTCAGTCTTAGAGTTGCCTCTCCAGGTATAGAGAACTCCACTACCTTAGTCTTACAGTTCAATTGAGCATTATAACGGGTCAGCCAATCCATGCCTATAATCACGTCATACCCCTTAAGGTCTAAACTTATCAAGTCCCCTACCAACTTCCGTTCTCCTACCCAAATCTCGCAATTTTTATAAACCATATTGGTAACTAAGTTTTGATCCCCAGTAGGTGTTTTTACTTCTAAGTCGTAAGGCAACTTAACAGGATTCACAGCAATACCACACATAAAGACAGGATTCACGAAAGAAAGGGTTGCTCCAGGGTCAATCAAAAGCTTAGCTAAGCGGTGGAATACAGGGATCATACCTTCCACTACTTCTGAGGATTCCGGAACTCGCTGGTGGTCCAAAGCAAAAACCCTAGCAGAGGTTTTGGGTCGACTTGCACTGGCGGTAGGTTGCTTAGGGTTTGACTTCTCCGACTGGGTACCCCCGTTGCAGTCACGATTTTTAATAGGGCAAGTGGCAATCTGATGTTCGGAACTTCCACAAACGAGGCACTTCCTCATTTTTTTCCAGCAATTGTCCTCGGTGTGATTTGGCTTACCATAATATCCACAGCTTGCACGAGTAGTGGGTGTAGGAACTCCTTGGGAGGTAGCCCTCTGCTGTCCTTGTCCTCTTCCACTTTGAGTTCCTCTAGAGGGAGCTCCTCCTTTAGGTGTCCCCGCAGTTCAGGCTCCACCCGCACCTCTTCCAAACTTAGGAGGTGGCAAATTCTGATCACCTCGCCCAGGAGTACTACTAGATGCACCACGCTTCTTAGCTTGAAAGGTCCGAACTTGAAATCGGGCTTGCTCTACTCGTTGAGCCTTTTCGAGAGAATCCTTGAAAGTATCAATTTGAGCGGCAGCCAAATCCTTCTGAATTTCCACATTCAATCCTTGTACAAATCGCCTTATGCGCTTTTGTTCACTAAACACCAATTCTGGGGCAAACTTGGAGAGTCGAGTAAACTGAGTCTCATATTCTGCTATACTTGAAGCACCTTGACGCAGCTTGATAAACTCGTCCTCCCTTTTCTCCTGGATTAAGGGCGAAAGGAATTTTTCATTAAATTCTCTAGTAAAGTTAAGCCAAGTATGGGGAGTTTGCTCCCTATGCCACTTTGCCCGTACTACGTTCCACCAGGAACGGGCTACGCCTTCCAGCTGAAAAACGGCGAAGGTAACTTGCCTCTCTTCAGTGTAATGTAGCGCGGCGAATATATCTTCCATTTGCTCGAACCAATTCTCAGCAATTTCGGGTTCAGGTCCTCCAAGAAATTTTGGAGGAGCAAACTTTTGGAACCTATCCAGGGCCCTGTCCTCACCTACTTCAGGGTCCCTTTGTTGGTTACCAGGTACTTGACCCTGCTGGTCAACCAAGCGAGCCAGTAAGTCAGTCATTCGATTGATAGTCGTAGCTACCTGGTTCCCTCCATCTCCTCGGGGTCCCTGGTTCTGATTCGCCACAGAACCTTGTTCCTCTCCTTGGTCTTGAACTTGCCTAGATTCTCGCCCACAGTCCCGAGCACGTCTTTGTCTAGTCTCCATTATCACTCACTGGCCTAGTGTCCACGTATAGCAACTAACAGGGTAAGCAAATATAGGTATACAGTAGATGCTTATTCATATTTAAAAGTCAATTAAGAAATGGAATCGGAATCACGATAAACGAGTGAAAATACAAAGCAGTTAAAAGGCAATGTCGAAATAGAGTCAAAGTCAAAGTCAAAGGTCAACAGTCAACAGTCAAATGTCAAAGGTCAAAGTCAAAAGTCAACATTCAACAGTCAAATATCAAAGTCAACAGTCAAAAGTCAAAATATTATCCATTAAAAAGCTCATGGCAGTCATTTACAAGGTAACAGAACCAAAAGTAGCAAGTACAAGCCTCAAGAGTACAGATATAGTAGTACAGTCATATCAAACAAAAACCTAGCACAAGTGTCAAAAGAAAACTGTACAACCACCGAGCCACAACCTCCCCTATCCTTTCTATGTGCAATAGTCAAAATCATCCAAGGTAGTAGCCTAGGAGTAGAGGCATAATCCGTCGTAGGACTAGTTGACCCCCCGACTGGACGGGTTCGTCTCCGACCTCGCCCCCTATGTAAGAAGCCTCGTCACTAGCCTCTCTTAGAAGATCATCACAAACATTATCCTTCACTAACTCTTCTCTTTCCTCTACCACGGACAAAATAATCGTATTGGGATAAGTATAAGTATGGCGGCACTCGCAACGCCAATGGCAGTTGGCCGGACTCCAACGTATAGTGGCCCCTCTTGACCGGATCTGATACTTAATCATCGGGAGTACTCCACGGGGCTGCTCACCAGCTGGACTATCACTAGGGCCACTATGTCCATCCATCCTACACAAAAGTGTAAATAAGCTTAAGTACTCTTAAGGGAAATAATCCAATATAATCCTCAAGTCGGAAATTTCTATCTCGCCTAGACCAATTCAAACCTAGGCTCTGATACCAACTGTGACAGCCCCACCTCTCTCTAGGGCGAACCCTAGGGTATCAACGGGCTGCCTGCCCAAGTCTCGCCAAGATTCAGTCGTTCAAAGAACTAATATCATCAATGAAACGGATAGAACATCTTCCAATACAGGGAATTAAAACCCTAATTAAAACATAATCACTATTTCAACGTTCCAGCTTAGTATATGTATCAACACATGTCAACCTACCACTTCACACTTAAAATTACATAGCATAAGTCATACTTAAAAATTTAAGCCTACAAGTCTGCTTAAACAAAAGTTACAACCCCAAAACGCAAGTACAAGCAAAATAAAGCGAGAAAGCTCTTGATCAAGTCCCTACCCGATCTGTTAAGGAAAACAAAGGGAATGGGGTGAGCTGAAGCCCAATGAGGTTCCAAGTAAAAACAAGTAAACACATAGTCACATAAGGTCACAAAATAACCAAATAAGCATCGTACTGTAGAATAACAATTAAACACAGTTCAATTCAAGGAAACAGGTGGCTTTCAAAATCCAAAGATCCACTTGAACTTGATCATAATTGCCTCCTGTTGACACTCCGTCAACACTTGTATGCACAGTATAAAAGGGTCCGTAGAACACCTCTTTCACCAGTCTCCGTCCACCAATCACCCCCCTACCGGGCCCGCACTCCATAACAGTAGTTTGGTAATACTCGAGTATACCGATTTCCAGTGTACAGTAAATAGTTCTCAAGGTTTATTGGCCTTCTCGACCAAACCCTTGTTGGCTCGATACGACCGACTCACCTATGAGGTTGGGTACCCAAACAGTAACAGTAGTTGATGGGATATCACCCAAACAACTCAATCACAGGCATTCATAGAGATATCATATCTCATAATAACAATATATATAACTTCAGTGAAAACAAGAGAGATCGAGTGCGGTAAAGTACACACTCGCCTCCATTTTATCAAAACAGTGTTTCGCTCCAACAGTTATCAATCAAGTATTTCAGATATTTCACATAACCGGTAGCAGGTAGTGGAACACTCACCTGTCAAGCAAAAGTAGCAATCGACGTCAAACGTCTCAGTTACGATCACCTTCGTTTCCCAAACCTAGGTCAACGAATGAAATCATTAACAATTGGATTCGTTCCTTACTAAAGTATAGGTTCATTAAGAAACCGAGTGAGTAGTCTAGGCTACTTAATTCGGCATGCAATAAGATCCATAACATGGTAAAAGTTCATGAGAAAATAAGTTTAGTGTGTACATGAAAGCTTGGCAAAAGAAATGTTTCATTTAGACTTGAAGGTTCCTTATTCGGATTAAACAGTCTTGCCCGGCAGTCTCGGGAAAACGGTTATAATTCACTGTAGAAAAGTTGGAATTAGGTTCCGTCGGTGCGGTTAGAAACTAGGTTCACAAGGCTATATTTGTGTGGAAGAAACTATTTCCAAATTCAAACATAAATGGTTCAAAATTACGCAACCAAATGAATTTTCTGGACAGTCTCGGATGAACAGTAACAACCGGGCAGCCAACTTTCAAGACTTGCCACGAATCGCTCGGGACGAACCAGAAAATGAACTTGGTACCATTTTAAAGGTCTAAGAGTCTACTTTCAAATTCCACAAACGGCACTCAATTCCGATCATTGAATAAAATGTGATGACCTTCACAAGATCACTGGTCAGAAAATTCCTGGACCTAGTCCAGTTTTGCCTCTTCGCTCATAACTCAAGATTTATCCGACCAAATTGGCTAATTTTTTGTAGAAACCCTCCACACACATAGCCCAACATATATCCCTCACACTTGTAGCCAAATTAGGCACGAAATTATCAAAGCAAAACAGGGCAACAAGCCCTTGAAATTTTCGGACAGCACCTCCCCAACTTTTCTAACTTTCAACCTTTCATGATTTGTACTCCAATCATATAACAAGTATTAGATCTGCTAAAAAGGGGTTCAAAAACTTGTTAATACCTCATACACACACATGAACAAGGACTAGGCATTTCATCAAACACATGGTGTGCATACTAACAAGCTTTACCACTACTTGATTGATTCATGGGACTAACCCCAAATATCAACCACCATAACTTGCAATTCATCATTAAGGCTTAAAGTGGATGATATCATAATAAAACCCTAATTTAAAGATTACTTACCTCACTTACAAGTTGCCCAAGTCACCAATCAATCCACCACAATGGAAACTTTAAGCTTGGAATGTGACAGCCCCACCTCCCCCTAAGGCGAATCAAAGGGTTCGGCGGACCGCCTGCCCAGCTCTCGCCGGGACTCAGTCGATCACTTCCATCCTCGAGCAAAAACCAGATCCAGCCCATACGGAAAATATAGCAATGATCCAAAAACTTAAACGAAACTTATATACATTACGATCTCAAAAGAAAGTACAACCGTCGAATATACAAAAGTTCCCAAAACCATACCACCAGCCCGTGCCAAGCACTAGGGCGAGAACCATTACAAAATCAAAGAACTAGACCAAGCTAGTCTATACAGAGCTCTCGTCCTTGCTCGCCTCCCCCTGCTAAGGAAAACAAAACTAAAGGGATGAGCTAAAAGCTCAGTGAGGTTCCGAACACATAATAAAACAATCAATCCAATACACTAACATGGAATATCACAACTTCACGAAACATTTACAATAGAAAGCGATAAAATATTCATGAAAAGGATACGACTCACAAGGAGCAATTCATTCGATCATTCATTCATTCTCCTGACATTTCCCCTTATTCCTCCAATCATTTGAAAATTTCATTTTTGTAAATAAACCCTCGTTCGTTCGTTCATTCGTTCATTTCATTCACCCCGTCCTGGAAATTGGCCAGGCTCCACCAACCTACAAGGTAATACTCGAGTATACCAAACGTTCACCCAGGTCACCATATCGCCCGACCGAGTCCGCTTCTGGCTCGAGTCGATTGGTAACAAGGGGCAGTGGCCAGTTCAGCCAAAAGGCTTACATTCATGCACAAGTAACATTTCAATCGTTCAATCATTGAAAAGTTCACAATCATTTAGGTTGAGTGCGATAAAGTACACACTCGCCTAGAAAACTCGTTTTAGCTAATCATTGAAAGCACTTAACACGTTATCAATCAATAAGAACAAACCAATAAGTCAAGGAATATAGCAAACAAGGAACACTCACCTAACTATGCAAAATAACGTGCAAAATATCCTTCTGGATAGTATCCTTAATCACCGAGAAAACCTAAGATTCAACGAGAAAGAATATAGCACAACCAATTAGGTGAAATCGAAGAAACCCAATAAAGAATGAGTAAAACGCATAAAAATGACTTTAAAGCGAAACGGGGCATTTGGACTGATGGACGGAAATATCTAGGGTTTCATAAACCAAACGCAAAACTAAACTAAAAAGGGTTATAAAATTTTGCGGCAAAAAGCACTTGGACGGACCAAAGACAAGTCGGAATCCAACTAGCCTTCAAGAAAAATTTCGGCAGCAAATCCCTTGTGTTTACCTATTTTCCAACCATTAATGGCTTCATTATTTCCTCAAATCAGTCCCAACATCTCACACAAAATAATCTCATTTCCAAAAGCCGTTCACTGGGCTGAAAATCATTCAAGTACGGAATTTAGTTCAAGTACGGAATTTAGCTAGGAAAATGACCGGAAATGAAAGTCAAGCCCTAAAATATTCCAATAAGCACAATAAGACTCGATTACAAGTCATAAACCAAGACCAAATACTACCAAAAGAGAGTTCCATAAGCATACATAAGCATTAGAGGAAACCAGAAAAATCCGGAAAAGATTTAGCTTTAACCCTGAAAAAAACAGTTTTTGACATCATTTTGCGGTAATGGCACCAAAGGCACAAAGAGTATCGGATGAAGGTGTAAGATCCACCGTTTCGAAGCTAAGAGATAGGGCTACAATGTTCCAGTAGGTAACTCTGTCCAGTTTCGAGTGTAACAAGGTAAAAAATGCAAGATACTACACCAGAACCGGAAAAACAGATTCACAAAACGCACTCTGGTGTAAACATCATAAAACAGGCTACCGAAGTCCAAATCCAG